AGCAAAGTGATTCAATTATACATATATGTATTCTTTTTTTATTCTTTTCCATTATGGTTTATCAGAGGATACTGAATATAGTTCTGTGTGCTATACAGGAGGACCTTATTGTTGATCCATTCCATACGTAATAGCTTATGTCTGCTAACCCCAATCTCCCACCCCATCGCTTCCCCAATCCCCTCCCCCTTGGCAACCACAAGTCTGTTCTCTACGTCCGTGAGTCTGTTTCTGTTTCGTACATATGTTCATTTGTGTCATATTTTAGATTTCACATATAAGTGATGTCATATGGTATTTGTCTTTCTCTTTCTGACTTGCTTCACTTAGTATGATGATCTCTAGTTGCATCCATGTTGCTGCAAATGGCATTATTTTATTCTTTTTTATGGCTGAGTAGTATTCCCTTGTATATAAGGACCACATCTTCTTTATCCATTCATCTGTCGATGGACATTTAGGTTGTTTTGAGACTACGGTTTTGTAATGATGTCAACCTGGGCAAGCCTGAGAGTCTCTCCCCCTAAGATCAGCCCTGCTTCCCACCACCCTACCCCTGTGCCCTCAACCACACCTCAACCTGGGAATGACCCCCAGAGAACTGACAATCATCTCATGACAAAACAGAGTTTTCTGGGACAAACTTCATACGGGCTGTCCTCAGTGGAGACGCTGGAACACGTTCCTGCAGTGGCCTCTGGGGTGATGGAGGCCCCGTACTTTCAGCAGCTGCCGGGATCAGGCTTAACCTGGAGGAAGTTACAGGGGTCGGGCTGAAGAAAGGCAGAGCATGAGTTTATTTTTAAACCCAAGTGGGCACTCCAGCTGCCAGGGAGGAGCAGACAGCTCTTGGGGAGAATAGAGGTTGGCAGTTGGTCAGACACTTGTCAGGAAGCATGTAGGCTGCCAAGTGGGCAGGGGTTCAGGTGGCTGAAGGCCAGGACTGTCCCTGAGGGGCCGGGGTGGGGATCTGCAGGGAGCAGCAGGTAACACTTCGGAGCCCAAGACGGCAGTGGGGGCGCGAGGCCTGAGCCCAGTGGTCCGGGCTGCCCTGGGGCCGTGAGTGTACTTCCCGGGGGGTGGGTCAGGCTGGGTCTCAATTCGTGGTCAGACGGACCACGTGAAGAGCTCTTTGCAAGAGCAAAGGGCAGTCCAGCATCAGGGATGCTCTGTTGGCATTCTGGGGGACCAAGTGTGCCTCATCTCCTTACAGCTGAGCTGGAAGGCAGCACTGCGCGGGGGATGGGATCCAGGGCTTCACAGCCTCATCAAGTTCAGGAAGTACGGAGACACTTCTCCCAGGTTCAGGCGACAGCAAGTCCTCCTGAGGACTCCTGCCGCAAGGGCTGTCGCCGCACCTTTCAGGAACTGTCACCAGGGGTGGCGTCCAGGTCGTAAGGTCATAAAGGAACAGTGATAGTGTGAAGCGCAGCACCGATCGCCGTTTATTTCCCACCTTGCTTTCAACACCGGAGGCCTGAAGAGCCACTGTGAATGCGGAGCTAAGGTTGGGGTGCGGAGGGTTCCTGGGCTTGGCGGGAGTGCCTGGGGGTCTGTGTGAGCCTGGGGTGCAGAGATCTCACTCCCTTAAATGTATCTGTAGCATCTTAAGAAATGAGAATTAATCTCCATCTCCAAAGGCCAAATGTTGAAGCTGAAGCCGTTACTGACAGCCCGTGAAGTCCTTTCGGCAAGAAGAGTCGTCATCGGTCGTCACTGACCTTCTGCAGTGGGGGAGTCTGGGGGTAGAGGTTGCAGATGTGCTGGGGGATTGAGATGCCGGAACAGGGTGGGGACCAGGAATTTAGGCCAGCACTGCCCCGAGCCCTACTCTCTCTGCACGTGGAGGTGGTCCTAGGAATCCTGCCCTTCCGGCAGCTTCTAGCTGCTTGCCCTCCCCAGGCCCTTGCCCACTGCAGCTATTTCTTGCTCCCCTTATCTCTTCTCTACCCTTCCCTTCCTCCATCCTTGCCCCAACCTCTCTCATCTTATCTTTCCCCTGAACAGGCAGGACTTTCAGAGCAAGATATCTGCAGGCCCAAAACGCTCTGGAGGGGAGGATGGGAGGAGGAGGTTCTTGGCTCAAACTGGGCCCCCAGTGGGGGAGGGACTCCCAGCCTTGGCCTTGCTCAGCCCCTTCCTGCCCCGGGCACAGTGGGGAAAGAGAAAATTCTCTGCGGGCTCAAGAGCACAGTGCCCTTGGGACCAGATAGCGGTTTTATCCAGCTTTCTGGACTCTCTTGGGAGGTGAGGACAGGCTGCTCTGGCTTCAACCATAAAAGGGAAGTTGGGTCTTCTGCCTGTTGGTAAGATGCTTTCCTAACTCAACTCCCATCTGCTTTGCTGAAGCCAGAGACAGCAGTTATCTTTGTCAGGAGAGCAAGGAAGCGGAAGTGCCAGGCCCTCCACCCAGTCGATGCCTATTTCCTGTCTGGGAATGGAAAGCTACGCCCCCTTCCTCCCAGCCCCCCAGAGCCCAGTCCTGGGTGCTCCCGTCCCACCTTCAGTGCCCAGTCATCACACTCCCTCCTGGGCCAGAGAGGACAGGGGAGGGTCCTGAGCCACCGCGCGGTCATTTACAGAAAGGAGAGACACAAGTCGGTGTGAGCTCCATGGAAGCCCCTGGACATGATCTTTAATTGATGTTCCTGTCCCTGCCTCCCCACCCCGAGCCCCAGATGATATATTTACAGGATGCTGTATGGAGCCAGTTCCAGGCCCAGGTCAGTGCGGCCTCCACTCCTCCCTGGGCACTGCCAGGGTGGGCGCTGCCAGGGTGGGGCAGGAGGATGCAGACAGCTGGGAGCCAGGTGGACTGGTCACAGGAAGTCTTGTGTTCTCCACATGCTCACCCCCACCCCCATGTGCACGCACACACAGGTGTGCCTGTGCGTGCAGAGGTATTCAGACTTGTGCGGAGATGTGGATCCAAATGCTTGTGCCAGATGCACCGCCACCTGTGTGCACGTGTGTACCACCAGAGGATGCCTTAAGGTACCGCAGCAACAGTGCAAAACCTGGCCCTTAGCCTCCTGCCCCTGCCTCAGTTTGTATGGCTGGTGGGGCAGTACTGGCCAGAGGGGTACCCCATCCACCCCCCTCACTTGGGCAGTACCAGCTGGAGCTCAGTATCAAGGACCCCACTGCAGCTGCATCCAGCCACCTTAAAGGGTGTCAGTGGGCCTCAGTCCCCAGGTTGCCCTGAGGGGTGGTGCAAATAAACAGGGAGCCATTTCTTCCATGATTCCTCCTCAAAGATGCCCCAGGCGGAGGCAGCTCAAAGGCCCTGGGGTGTTCAGAAACCCCTGCTGGTCTGGGTGGGGGTATCCCTGGGAAGACGGGCTCCGTTCACTTGTGGCTTTCATCCGGAAGGTGGCTTGACCCCCAGCTTGCCCCTGCCGGCTTTTTTTCAGCAGTTAAGGAGTCAGCTCCTCTGTCCCAAGCGAGGGTCATGAGGAAAGGCCCTGGGCAGGACTGTGTTTGTGGGGGGACTGAGGAATTCTGCCAGCCTCGGTCTCAGGCTCAGCTGCAGTGGGGATCAGAGGACTAATGGGGAAAACGACTGTAAACTTACTACTCTGCCCTGGAGTGGGGTTAAGGAGCAGAATGGGTTTGACAGGGACTTGAGGACTTTTCTAGAAGCTGAGGATCAAACATGAGACTTGCCTTTTCCTACGTCCTCTTGCACATCACAGGCAGAGCCCCTAACCCTCCAGGCACTGGGCCACCCCTGGCCTTCCGTCCTTGGGAGAGTGCTCCCTGGGAAGATGGCCCAGCCGGGAACCTCCAGGCCACGCCAGGGGGCACCTAAACCCTGAGTCAGAATCACCCTTCTTGAAAGGGGGAAGGTGCCGTGTTATTTTAGGGACTGTATTTTCTAGGACCGTCCCCCCAATACATGTGTCCTGGCAGGGACAGCAGGACGGTTGTTTTGGAATTGAAGACAATCTGGGACATGTGGTTGCCGCACCCATAACCTAGGCCTTGGGCACGGAACAGGCAGCTTTGGCTTGAATCAGCACTCGTACTTCTCTCCAAGCTCAGCAGGGCTGGGCGGAGGGGGCAAGCAGGGATGCCAGGCCCCTGCCTGGCTTGGGGACGTCTGTGTTCAGTGAGAGGATTCCAGGTGTGACCATCCCAGGGGAGGGACGGCGGGGATGGTCAGACCTCAGCTCCTCCAGTCCTTCCTGCAAATGTCGAAACATCCCCACAACTGCCCTGGCCCCAGCACCCCCAAAGTTACATTCATCAGTTGAGATTCAGTAAAAAAAAAAAAAAAAGAATGTAGATGTCAGCCCTCTCCCACTAGGTCCCAGAGAGCTTAAACCCTGCCTGGTCCCAGCTGCCAGGTTTTGAGGAGGGGCCATCCCAGGCCATGCCCACTGGTGGCTGCCTGCCCCACTGGGGCACCCCTCTAGCCCTCCCCCCACCCAACTTGAGCTGTGGCAATCTGTGATGATGGAAGGTACATTCACACAGGGAGAGTTGGTGTGCAAGGCCAAAGCTGCATGAGGTGGGGTGGGGGACCATGGGGGAAATGCCCTGCAGGCCTGGTCCACCCTGGTGGTGTGAGGGCAGGGCCACAACCCGGCCCCAAGCCCTTGTAGGGCCGGGGGTTGAAGGGCTGAGCCCGGAAGACATTTGCTTGATGCCTCCCTCCGTGGCTGGGCGGGGGCAGACTCCTGGTTCAGGGCGGAGATGGTGGACGCCAGGCTCGGAGGGAGGGGGAGGGCACTTAGGCTCCTCCAGACCTGGAATGGAGAGGGGGCATCAGGGGAGGATATAAGGCAGGGCCCAGGAGAGCCCTCGAGCTGGGCCCTGGGAGGTCAGTGCTGGGCCCTGGAGACAGCAAGTCACAGGCTGGTCAGGGAGGGGATCTGGCGGGAGGTCAGACAGCGGTGACATGAAAGACAAAACAGATGGGACGCAGAGGTAGGCTCCCTTCCCAGGGGTTAGGGCCTGTGTGGGCGGGGGCACAGCTCCAGGGTCCACGGGGCCAAGGCCTGAGGGGGTGGGTGGACTGGAGGAAGGGGCAAGGGGCAAGTCGAGGACACTTCCTGGAGTGGGGTTCTCCCACCCCTGTAGTGACAGCAGTGACAGCAAGGGTGGAGGAACCAGCCCCAGCTCCCCATCCACAGAATGCGAGGTGACGAATGAGATGGAGGAGACAGGGACAGCGGGAGGGATGGCGTGGCCGGCGTCACACTGCCCCCTGCTGGGTCGGGTCATACCTTCCTCGGCGGATGTTTCTTCAGGAGCCAAGGAGAGGACAGGCAGAGAAAGGAAAAGGAGCCGTCTGTGACCTTGTCCTTCTCCCAGGGAGGGGCCTTCTGGCTCCCGGGAGACCCTTTGCCCCAGAGATGGGCCAGGGGCCCCAGGACCTAGATGCTAATGACAGGCCCAGGGAGCGCTACCAGGAATACCTACTGAACTTGGGTCCTGGGTTTGAGTCCTGACTGCAACTAACTCACCGCATGACCCTGAGCCTCAGGTCCTCCTCTGTACACTCAGGGGTTAGACCAGCTCGAGGGCCCCAGACACGGGTGCCCACAGAGCACCGTAGGCTGGGTGGGGCCTGGGGACTGAGGACTCGGGCAGCTCCCTGCTCAGCTCCACTGTGGCCAGGCTGGGATGCACTGAAGCACAGGGCGCCCCCATCTTCTCACATTTCAAGAGAAGCTGGAAATCAGGATTCTTAATGTAAAATCTCCTGGTTTTTTAAATGTGAGCAACCAATTTTTTTAAATGTTAAGACAAGACGCTGTGGGCTGGCTTGGATTGTGACAGACGAGCTCCGGTTTGGTTAACCGCTCAGGGAGGCCCCCTCAATTCCAACAGCCTGGGGTTCTGATAACCCCAGAGGATGCCAGGGGGTGCAGGGGCCGTGTGTGTGTCTTACTTAAATCCCCAGCCCGTGCCGCCCAGGACGATGGCTGCAACCAGGACAGCCCCGGCGATGGAGCCGATGATGATGTTGGTGCCGCTGGGACCTAGGGAGGAGGGCAGGGCTCAGTTGGCAGGGACAGTCATGGAGGACAGGAAAGATGGAGCCCCACCCTGGCCAGCTCCAGCCTCACCCTTATATCTCTCCGTCTCCCCTGTGGGCAGAGACGTGGGCAGGGGGTTGTGGATACTGCAGTCCTTGCCCGTCCAGTCTGGCTGACAGATGCATTTCCCTTCATTGCTGCAGACCTAGAGGTGGGGTGGGGCCGGTAGAGGTGAGCAGGGCCCTGTCCCCACTTGTAAGCCCTTCCCCTGATCCCTGACCTCCAGGCACCCACCCCGTGGTGGGAGCAGATCCGGTGCTCCCCGCTGCCAGGGCAGGTGCTGAAGTTGAAGGCAGAGGCTGGCAGGCAGCGATGGTCCAGGCACAGCATGTTGGGCCCGCAGGCTGTGCCGTCCTCTACGTAGCTCAGGTCTGAACCATCGGCCAGCTGCACGTGGCCACCCCTGGGGAAACAGCACAGCCGACCTCTGCCCTTGCCCCCGACCCCATCACGGCTGCAACCTCCCCTTCCCCAGCCATGGTCCCAGCCCACACCTGCAGTCCAGCTCCTTGCCCTGGTGGTAGAAAGTGACGCTGCTGATGTCTCCCCCTAAGTCCCCCAGCCGAGGAGCTCCAGAAATGTTGACACAGAGGAGGAAGCCACAGAGCACATCCCTGTTGGGGTAGTGTGGAGACAGTGGGCCCCAAGTCTGACCTCAGACCCAACAACTGACTTTGTATCTGCCCTCTCCCCCTGATTTTTCACATAGTCTCCCGCTGGGACTCATAGCCTGCCCCATCTCTGAAAAAACCCTGCCCAGCCCCAGAGCCCCAGCCCCAAAACTGGGGAAGCCCAACCAGGAGCTTTGACTACTCACTGTTTATTGCACTGGACCCAGCCTGACCCCTTGCGCCCACAGTTCCCACGTTCTGTCCCCTCCACGTTCAGCTTCTCGTAACAGAAGCGATCAGCAGCCGCTGTAGGGAGATGACGCCAGGCATCACCCCACCCACTCCAGAACCCACCTGGGGCCTCAGGCCTGACCCCAAGTCCAGCTGGGTCCCTGAGATCCTGGGGAGCCGCACATCTGGCGGAAGGCATTTCAGCCAGAGCCTGTCCCCAGCCTCTCCATTCCAGGTATTCCACGTTCCCCTCTCCCATCTCCAGCCAAAGACTCACCATGGCCCCAAAGGGCCTGGCACTGCCGGTCCCGGGTTTTGCAGCGACCTCCGTAGCAGCGGCCCTGAGGGACAGACAGGAGACAAGGGACACAGACACTGAGGACAAGAGACTGCACTGAGCCAGAGACCCACAGGGGGTGGAAGCTCCACCCCATCATACCTGTTCGTGATCACAGTAGTAACCGTCCAGCTTGTGCAGGTTGGGGGGACACTGCGGAGAAAGGGGCTGGACTGAGTAGAGCTGACCCAGGACTGGGAGCTGAGGTCGGCTCCAGGGAAGAATAAAGGGGTGCCAAAGGCCCACCAGGTGGGGGCTCAGGTCCCAGGGCTCCTCCAGGTCAAGGACAAGAGGAGGGAACTCAGACCACATGGATTGGCAGGTCCCATAGTTTCTCCAGTCTCCCTCAGTTTCCTGCACCTCCTTCACAGGGCTGGGAGTATGTAATAAGGACTTAGAGGTTAAATAATATTATTATCCACTGTGATCCCTAGTAGACACCAGGCACTGCGCCAGGCACTGGGAACACCAGCTAGACTATAAATACTGGTTTAACGATTGGAGGAACAAAGCCAGAAGGCATGAAGAACTCCTTTCTCAGATGAGAAACGGAGGCTGATCAGCGGCGGCGACTACAGCAGCGGAGAGGAGGGGCGCGCAGAACAGTCACCCAGCAGAGCTAAACGGATAGGGATAGTGGTTGCCTCGCTCGGGACTCCGCAGGGCGGCCGGGACGAACGGACCTGGCTCGAGTCCCCAGTGCAGGTCTCCGCGATGTCGCATTCGTTCACGGCCTCTCGACAGGACACACCCCGCGGCTCGTACTAGGGAAGGGATGCATTGCGGGGCTCAAGCAAGAACCACCGACCCCTCGTCTTCCCGCCTCCTCGGCCCGGCCCCCGCCCGCTCCCTGCCCACTCAGCACCGCCCCCAGATCCGTTCACGGCTCCGCCCACCCCGCTACTTCTCAACAGGTGCTCCGCCCCACTCCCCGTAGCTCCGCCTTCAACAGAACGGAGAGGGCCGCACGCCCAGCTCCTCCCTCCCCATTGGCGCTTTCTTCGCGTCAAGCCCCGCCCCTACAGATTTGCCTCCAGCGGCTCCTCCTCCTTAAGTCCCGCCCCCTATCTGGACGTCCGCAGCCCAGTCCCTCCCGGTCCCCGCTCCTTCCCGTCCCAGCGGCGGGTCCCCCTCACCTTGCAGCGGCGACAGCAGAGCCCGTCGCTGCACATGGCGTCGTGAGTCAGGGTGCATTTCTTGCAACAGTTCCCGCCCGCGCGGCTGCACTCCTGAGGGACGCAGGGAAAGGGCGAGCCCTGACCCTCCCCACCCAGACCCTCCCTCGCACTCACCCCTGCGTTCCCCGCCCCCCACCTGGCACCAGCACTAGTCTCGCACCTGCACCGAGCCGCAGTCGCACTCCTCCCCCGCCTCCACGAAGCCGTTCCCGCACTCAGGCGGGTCCAGGAGCTGGACGGGGAAGAGGTGTCGGGAGTCTGGCCGGGACCCTGCCCAAGCCCCGCTCCCACGTTCCCAGCCCTGGGGCTGGTACCTTGAGGGGCTTGTTGAAGAGGCAGCTCCCGCCGCCCTCCTGCAGAAACTGGTTATACTCGTCGATGCTACAGCGCGAGAACTTGCGGGGTAGGTAGAACCTGGGTAGGGATGAGGGGGCCGTGCCGCTAAGTCCCCGCCAGCCCACTGTCTCGTCCTTTCTCAAGACTGGGATGGGGTGCACCGGCGGACTCGGTCACCATCTCGAGGAGGCTGAAGATCTATGTGCCTGGACACTGCATGAGAATCCTCCCGCCTGCCCATCAAGCGGGAGTGGGCAGGGGACGCCGCTCCTGGCTTCTCCCCGAAACCTCAGGACTCCGGGAGTCGGAGGTTTGTGCGCCAAGGAGGGAAGGTGCCTCCAAATGAGGCTTTGGCGGTGCCCAGTGGCGACAGTGCGCACTACAAGCCTGAACAATTCGGGCGTCCGGCTGGGGAATGTGCGTCTCCCTATGCAGTGTCCACAGACAGCTGTGCTTCCTGGAATTCTGAGTGGTCCCGAGAGAGAGCTGGGTCTCTTGAGGCCACCGGGTCCAGAATGTCACCCAGTGCTCGCTCTAGGACTCCCTTTGCCCAAGATCCTCCCCCGTTTTGTCCCCAAGAACTCACCCAGTGTCCTCCATGATGCAACCCAGCCAGTTGTCCGGACATTTGCAGTCCCCTGAGAGGTAAGCCAGGTGAATATAAGGGAGGGTGAAGAACTGCCCCCCTCCCGTGGGCACCCTCTTCATCTCTAGAGTGTGGGTCTGGGCGGGGTGTGAGGGTCTTCACTGATACCTGCCGAGCTCCGGTGTTTATTCCACATCATGCCCAGGTTCTGCCCCAGCGTCTGGGCCAAGGTCACCGCCATGGCCCCCATGTTGTCATACTTGGGGTGAGGAAGATGGAGCACAAAGATGTCTACATCCCTCCCAAAGGCACAGGGCTCATGCCCTTCGCAGCCCCTCTCCTTCCCACCCGGCCATGCCCCCCCCACTGCTCACCTCGTTCACACCCCCACCCCTGGACAGCGAGCAGATGCCCCCCACGTAGGCAGCGCCACTGCTGGTGCTCTGGAAAGTTCTGCCCCTGGAAGGGAGAGGCTTGTCAGGAGAACCCACTGCCTTCCCCGTGGTGGCTCCCCTGGGCTCTGATGGGGAGACAGGTGAGCCCCCCCCCCATGAGGAGGTGAGTTCTGCCCTTCATGTCAGTCTGTGTGACCTCAGGCAATTCCCTTCCCTTCTTTGGATTCATTTGCCCTTAAGCCAAATGAGGGATTCCTAATAGATCATCTCTAACTGCAAGGACCTTTTATCAGATTTTTTTCCCTACTAGGGCATTGGAAGGGATGCCCTGAGGAAGGGATGCTGGGACCATTTGAAAGGGGAAGAGGGGACGAAGGGGAGGTATGAGCAGAGGAAGACCACGGGTGGTAGGGAAAAGGGGCCTGAGCCTAAGATGCAGGGGAAGATGCCCAGCCACTGCTGCAAATGGCTGGGAGTAGGTACAAGGGGAGCCCAGTCCCCACACCCTGCAAGCGTGCCTGGCCCAGAGCCATGTTCAGTAACCCTGTGCACCACAGCCACCAGCAGAGGCTGGCAGGGTTCATGGGGTGAGGGACTCACGAGAAGAGGTGGGTGGCATCACTGGGCTCAGGCAGGCCCTCCCGCCGGTAGACCATGAGCCGGGCCAGGGTCTCCAGGAGGTCATCCTGCACCTGGATCTTGTCCCCATCTGCCCACGTTTCCATGGCAACCAGCACGATGCGGGTATTCAGCTGTTCCTTGTACATCTGGGCCAGGAAGGGAGAAGATGAGGAGGGGGCTGGGGCTGGAGGGTGGGAGTGGGTGTGGGGGAACAGGGCTGGAGGAAGGTCTCAATCTGTCCCTCCAGGAAGTGGGGGTCAGAGGCTGACGGTGCCCTTGAGAGCTCACCCTGAGGATGCCTGCGGTGGCGTGGGGGGTGGGAGGAGAGGGAAGGGAAGGGAGGGCTGCTCACCACATCTGCCAGGTTCACCACGGACTTGGCAAAGTTGCTGGTGAGGACCACCGACTGTCGCATCTGCTCAAACTGGGAGAGAAGAGAGTGGGCGGAGGGCCAGTCTGCTTCCAGCCCCTCCTCCCAAAGTTACTCCCAGCCTGGGACTGTACCAGCTGGTGGTCGTTGATCACAATCAGCTCCACATACTTGGTCTCACTGTGCACTGTAGGGTGGCCCCTGCGGACCTGGCGGGGGGGAGGTGGGCACTTGGAATCAGTCCCCTCCATGCCTGGCATCGTGGCCAAGCCACAGACAGACTCAAGGAGGGGCTGGACTCCAGCCAGAGACAGTGTCGGTTCCCCACTTGTGCGGGTCCCATCCAGCCTTGGTACCAGGGCAGGCAGCCTCGGTTTGCCTAGACACTAGTGGTAGGGCCTAGGGTGGGCGCTTCCTGCCAGAGGTGGTTCCCTGGCTTCCAGCCACATCAGTCTGAGCCCTCCTTTGCCCCGGCTATGGATGGGGGTGACCTCCTGCTCCCGGCCACAGCCTGAGGCCTCTGCAGCAGGAGGTCTGTGCGGGCCCCCATACCTGCCTTTTCCTTCTCAGCCTTGGTCGGTTCGGAGAAGCAGAATGGGCAGGGGCAGCAAACAGGCAGCCTGGGGGGAGGGTGCCGGTGAGGGGGGCACAGTCGACCCCCTCCCTAGCCCCATTTTCCCTCCCTTACCTGGTTCCCTGCATCCGAGGGGGGCTGGGAGGAGAGGGGTCCGGTAAATGAGGTGGGGAAGGGGTCCCTGCAATGAGGGGAAATTAGTTCTTGGGGAGGCCGACCAGATCTGCTCTGAGCCCAGTTGCGGGGAAACATCTCCAGCCCTTCCCCCCACCCCACCCCAGGGTGACCCAGAACTGGCCAGAGCTCCCATGTCGGATCTGATCTCCCAGATGCTCAGATTCCGGGGTCAAGACCTGGGGGCACCCTGAGAGACAGGGGCAAAGGACACTGGAGCCCGATGGGAGGTCACTTGGGGGACAGAGGGGACATTGGAGCTGGGGGCATGGGGGAGGGAACCAGAGCTGGGGGCACGGGGGAGGGCAGTGAGGCTGAGGTTACCAAGGCAGGAGGATGAGGAGGCAGCAGTAGCCACTGAGGTGACAGCCATTGGGACGAGCGCGGCAGGGCTGTCAGAGGGGCCAGGGAGGGGCTCACCTGGAGGGTTTCCTGAGGCCTGGCCACCTCGTGGGGCTCCATGATGTAGGTGAAGTTCCCGTCAGAGAAGACCCCGCTGCAGCGAGAGAGACGCAGCTCCCCACCGTCCCCAGGGCTGGAGGCTCATCCTGGCCGCCCAGCCCCTCCCCATACTCACTGCAGCCCCTGGCAGGTGGAGAGGGCAGCAAAGGAGTTCGGGTTCCCTCGGAGCCTCCCCTGGTAGTAGCAGTGGTCTCCAGCCCCCTGGGGGAGCAGAGAGTGTGAGTGGACATGCTCCCTTCCCCGCATGAAGGCAGGAGGACGGGTGAGGGCCGCTGAAGCTGCCCCGTGTGCAGGGCTGCGGTCCCTGGATACACCTGGGGATCTGGAGCCCGGCTCTGCTCTGGCTATGCTCCTAATGTGCTGTTTCACCTTGGGCAAGTTCCTAGCCCTCTCTGGGCCTGCTTTACCTCACCTACAACGTGAGGACTTTGGGGCACATCAGTGGCTCTTAACCATGAGTTGGGGCTGGTACAGGGATCACAGACTCATCTGAGAAGAATAGCTGACGTTCATATAGCACCTACTGGGTGCCAGGCACCATTCTAAGCACTTACCACGGATCCGCTCACTTAATCAGATGAAAGCTATGGACTCACCCCCAACACACACACACCATTTCACACACGGTGTGTTCACAGACGCCACAGCCTCTGTGGACCACCCCTGGACGCATGGTCTGTGGCTGAGGAAACGTGAGCAGCGTGTGTCCTCCTGGCCAGGCTCACAGGTCAGAGGGGACGAGCACCCCCTCCCCTCTGCTTCCTGCAGAATTACTGGTGCTCCGATTACTGACCAGTCTGGAGGGGGAGGGCCGAGGCTATCTATAGACACCCATTCATCTTTGCTTGCACCCCTGGGCCTTCAGGGCTGGGACCCTGGGGTCCCAGGCAGCCCGGAATTCCCAGGGCCTTGGTGCTGAGCAAGAGGGGCGTCGCCCCAACCGCCCCTTGCCAGAAGATTCTGGGCATGGAGCAGTGGGGGTCCTGGAATGTCTCCATGCTGGCAGACAGGCTGGCTGGGGGTCAGCCCTCTGGAGCTGGGCGAGGGGAGCTGAGGACTCCATGCCATTCGACAGGCCACCCCGACTCCAATCCTGGAGGGGCCAGGCCCAACCCGAGTGTAGAATATACCCCAGACCCCATCTCCACCGGCCACCTGTCCCTTCATACCACCTCCCCATCCCCTTCCAAAGGCACTCACGGTGCTGTGCTGGGTGGGCCCCTCCCGGCTGAAGTGGCGCTCCACATATTGCGAAGAGAGAAGGTGACTGGAACAGACAGAGTGGGCAGGAGGAAGGAGCGGGTCACAGTGGGGCTAGGTCCTCTTTGGGTCCCACCACAGCTCAGATCCAGGTGCCCTGCCCCAGCCAGCCTGCCCGCCTGCTGCCCTTCCCCCAGACTCAAGGCCACACTCACTGGTTCAGCTCCAGGTCCAGAGTGAAGTTTGAGTTGAAGGCTGGGACGACGAAACTCACCTGGGCCAGGTGGACAGGCTGGGAGAAAGTGGGGGAAGGCAGAAGGGGAGTCAACCTGGGGAGGCCTGAAGGTGGGAACTGGGGGGACTGGCGAAACCCCAGTAAGGGGAGTAGCCCTGGGGAGGGGATGACCCAGGCCCAGTAGCTGTGGGTACCATTGATCTAGGGGGAAGATGCTTTCCTCCAAGCTCATCTTCCTCCAAGACCCTGTTCCTTTCCTGGGGGGAGGGGCAGGAGCACGCATCCCGGGGCACAGGCCTCCTGGCTCTCTGGGTGCCAGCCCACCCTCTCTGGTGTGGCCCTGGGGCCAGTCTACGGTAGGGATGGGCAGAGGCAGCTCAGCCTGCCCACTGCCTCACGCCAGGCCCTCCCTGCTGCTGGCAGGGCCACGCTCACCCACAGGTGAACTAAAGGGAGGCCCCGAGAAGTATCACGGGAAAAAGGCAAACAGGAGATGGGGTGCAGTGTGACCCCAGGGCCCTGCTGAAGCAGGCCCCTCCCTTCCTGTCCCCCTACCTTGGCCCTAGCCTCAACTTATGGAGGAGGCCTCGTACACTGCAGACAGGGGTGGAATGGGTTAGAAATGATCGCAGGGCCCCTGGAAGCTGGGATGATGGGCAAATGCCATCCTGTCAGGGAAAGAACGTGGCTCCTCTACCCCCAAGTCCATTGCCCTCTGCCTCGCCCAAAGCAGCTCATCTTTGATATTTCAATCCCATGGTTAATTTTTAAACACGGAAGTTTTCCTGATAAATTTTTCAGAGGGGCCTTTGCAGTGGGGCTGGGAGGCTCCAGGTTGTCATGGCAACGTACCAGGCCTGAGCAAGATGGCTGCCCTCCCAGGCCTGGGTGCCCAGCTACTGTAGCGGGTACGGATTCCAGACCTGACGCTAGTGTGCCTGGAGGGAAAGCGACCCCAAGAGAAGAAGGGGCAGGAGAGTCTGGGCTGAGGAGAAGTCAGCCTCTCGGGTCCCACGTCCCCAGCCCAAGCCTCAGGTCTTACAAAAGATCTCAAAGCACAGGAAGGGCCTGAGGGGGGCTGGAGCCTTCTGTTCATCCCCGTCCGTTTAAGGAGACTGAAATCCAGATCCCCAGATGAGGGGCCCACCACTGGGCTGTACAGATGTGAGGAAGTTTGTTGGCTGCCTTTCCTTCGGGGGGAGCAGGTTACAAGATGGAGGGGAGCCCCGATGTCACAAAACTCCATAGCCTGGTGTAGTCGGCTTCCTAATCAGCCCCCTAGATTTCTAATCTTCATGAGCGCTTGTGCGCCAGGCACTGTTCTAAACACTTTACAAGTATCATCGTATTTGATCTTCACTACAACCCAGTGGGATAGATACTAATGTTATCCTCATCTAACATATGGGGAAACTGAGGCACAGAGAGGCTAACTAACATGCCCATGGTCGTAAGGCTAAGAAGTGGTAGAGCTGGGATTCAAGCCTAGGGAACCAGCTTCTAGGGCCTTCTCCCCTCAACGGTAAGGTAAGATGGAAACGGCCCAGTGTCCATGAGAGGCCCTGGGAGTCAGGGTGAGGTAGGCAGCCCTCTGAGCCCCAAAGACACTGAGTCACCCCACCCCAGGCTGACCGAGGCTCCAAGCTCCATCCTGAGCCCCTAGAGCGTCAACCAGATTTGAAATAGAAAGTCAAAGACAAGGAGTCACTGCTTCCCTCTCCCCACCTTGGCCTGGACAACCCCTGCCCTCCCCCTGCCCCTGGGCCTCGACCAGCTCTGTCCCCAATACCCTAACTCCTTGGTCTGGACCACCCCTGCCCTCCCTCTCCCCTCCTGGACTTGGACTAT